CCTCCCTGGGCTCTAGCAGAGGAAGGGTGGAGTGAACTAGAGTCACATGAGTAGAGTCCAGGGTTTGTGGCTCTGGGGAAAGAGACCTGGGAGGACAGCCACCAGATCCCTATGCTGAGACATTTTCTCATACCACCGTTGACATCTTTCTTGGGTGGAGTACTCCTTCCATGCATCATCAGCCTGGGGTAAAGCAATTGCTCCACCCTCTGGACTCCTTCTTGCCCCACCCTGCTAAACTTAAACTCTGCTGAGGAGGCAGCTGCCTTGGCCAGGGTATAGAGGTCTGGGCAGACTCAGGGGATGACTGAGTTGTTTGGCTTTGGGACAGGGGCCATTCCCTCCACTTTCTAGTAAACTTGACAGGCACTTCCCCCTCATGGGAGATCTGATAGAATCATCCTCCCAGCTTCGGGCAGACCCACCCTCTGGGCTCCAGAGGCCCCACCTGCTTGACTCCTAATGCCTCTGCCCTACTGAGGTCATGGCAAAATCTTGGACAGACTGAGTCATGTAACTCTGTGGCAGAGGCCACACCCATCACCTTCCCTGAAACATGACTGCACCTCCCCCTCAAGGGAGATCTACTAGCCCCATCCTCTTGGCACTGCCAGGGCCTCTGAGCATAACAGGCAGCTGGCAGGCAGAGGCAGCTGGAGGCAGATCTTGGGGTGCTTTTGCTGGCCTGCCCCCACACCAGGTGGTGTTAAAAGCCCGCTTTGTTGTGCAGCTTGGTCCTTCCTACGTACCCAAGCTTAGCAGAACAAACTGTGGATCACTAGTAGCTCCAAGCAGGTTGCCGAGGGTCAGGTACAGAGAGCATCTGACATTGGTCTGCAACAGAGTCCCTCCCAACATTCCCCGGTGACCAGATTCAGACAATATCAGGATCCAATAAACTTCACAAGAAAAATCTTGACAAGCATCAAACCCTGCTGAGGTGAATTCTGCTTCATATCGTAAGCACCTGAACAGCAGCTAACATGCCATGGTTGGGGTTGAGCCTCATAGTCAGCCAGCCTGAAGGTTGATCACACACACAAACAAGTCAATAGCAATCAATACTCAATTACAACAGGAGGGCCCACATAAACCACACAAGGAACATTCCTGGAGCATCTACCTCAGGTGATCAAGGTGACTGTGCCACTGGGTCCCACAGGACACCTACTTCATAAGGCCACCTTGAAGACAGTAGTCATAGCAATCTATCTAATACAAAGAGGCAGGCCCCAAAGGAAAGAACAGGAGAAATCTCCAGAAAAAGAGCTAAATGAAATGGAGACAATGTATCAGATATAGAGTTCAAAACAATGATTATAAGAATGGTCAAGGAACTGAGAGAACTACAACAGCATGAAAATGGACATAGAAACCATAAAAAAAGGACCAGTTAGACATGAAGAATACAAAATCTGACATCAAGAATGCAAGGGAAGGAATAACAGTAGGTTAGATGAAGCAGAGGATTGAATCAGCAATCTGGAAGACAAGGTAGAAAAAAACACCCAGTCAGCAGAAAAAAGAAAAAACAATAAAGACCTGATTGGTGTGGCTCGATTGGTTGAGCATCGTCCCATGCACTAAAAGGTCAGTGGTTTGATTCCTAGTCAGGGCACATGCCCGGATGCAGGCTTGATCCCCAGTAAAGGCCATGCATGAGGCAGCCAGTCAAAGATTCTCTCTCATCATTGATGTTTCTACCTCTCTCTCCTTCTTCCTTCCTCTCTGAAATCAATAAAAATGTATTTTAACAACAACAATAACAACTCGGCCCCCTAACCTGGCTGGCCGCACCCCAATTGGGGGTGGGGCTGGCCAGCCAGCCTCCCATGTCCCCTCCCACCCATCAGCCCCCATCGGGCCAGGCCAGCTGGACCCCACCCATGCACAAATTTGTGCACCAGGCCTCTAGTTTTTACTATAATAGTAAGAAACATATAGTCCTTGCTATGTGCTAGGCTCTATTATAAATTGTAACCCACTTAATCCGCACAACAACCCTTAAGGTAGATACTATCTTTACTTCCTTTTCCACAAATAAGGCCCCTGAGACCCAGAAAGGGTAAGAAAACTTGCCCAAGTCCCACAGAAGGGGGTGGAGCCTGGCCCTTGCCTCTGCCTGCCACAGAAGAGCCAAGTTCTGCTATGTCTACTGTAACACTGTGCCGGGAGCCGGTCCATCCTTGCTGTTTCAAGGCACCTGGCATCTACAGCATGCTGTTCTTGATGTGTTTGCTCACCTTCTTGGCACTATGTGTTTTAACCAAGGTCACCTCTCTGAGAAAGGTTGTTTCCCAGGTAGGGATTTCCCCCTGAAGTTAGGGAGGGAATAAAACCCCTTAACTAAGTGCCAGGCGGGTAATTAATCACTTTAACTATGAACAATCATGCTTAAGTTACATAATCTTTACTCCCTGGAATGGAGATAAGAAATGCCCTAACCTTTGGAATAGAGATTGATAGGGTTAAAATCAACTGGTATAAACACAACGTGGCTGGAGAACCTAGCAAGAGAACATGGACACAGAACTTGGCTGGAGATTGTGGCTAGAGATCCTGGCAAGGCTGCTGATCAACTGAAAGCTGTCTCCGTGTCATTTCTTCTTCGCCGACTCCGTCCACACCTTTGGGGACCCCTGGACCTGCTGGGGTTGGACCCCAGCAACACTGGAGCTGAGGAGTTTTAATGTGATTGCTTTATTCTCCTTTTGCTTCTATTTTCTTGGGGAAATTTTTAAATAGTTTAAAAAACATATTAGAATTTATTTTTCTCTAATTATGGGAATTTTGTGAGTGGTCTATGCTACATGGCAGGCTTCCAATAGCTTTAATATCTGCTAATGGTATGAGGCCCTGTCTCCGGTCTCCATATAGTAGAATATGCTTTTGTTGTTGAATTCTGTTGTTGACTGACATTTGCTTGGCATTGTATATCACCAACTCTAAACAATGTCAGCAATAAATATTTGTGACCTGAAAAGGCACAATCTCTTGTTCATAGTCCTTTGAGCATTCATGACTTGTCTATGTACTGTTTTAGATTACCTTGTGATCAGCTCTGGCATTAGTGCATGATGATAAGTGTATTGCTGCACTTTCTAAAAAGGATTATCGCCTATTTCACAAAGTTAAAATCAAGCTTGAAAGTTAGAGGGCTTAAGTGATCTTTGAATCACTTTTTAAAAATAGCAGAGTTTGTCCAGCCAGTGTGGCTCAGTGGTTGAGCATTGACCTATGAACCAGGAGGTCAGGGTTCGATTCCCCTTCGGATCACATGCCTGAGTTTCCAATTGATTCAGCCCATCTCTCTCATCAATGTTTCTATCTCTCCCTCTTTCTCCTTTCCTCTCTATCTAAAAATCAATAAAAACATTTAAAAAATAAAATAGAGTTGTTTAAAAGTTATTATTAGAAATACTTGACCCATGCCACCTAAAGCTGGTGGGACCCTCTGCCTTGCCGCCTGCTCACAGCCTCGCTTGCCATGCCATTGGAGAAGGCCTTCAGCCCCACACCTTCCAACAAAGAGTAAAAGATCTCTGACTTATCTGAGAGCAGCATCCGACCAAACTCCCAGTGATAATAGAATGATACAAGAGTGGGAAGCAGCCCTAGCTGGTTTGGTTCAGTGGATAGAGCATCGGCCTGCAGACTCAAGGGTCCCGGGTTCAATTCCAGTCAAGGGCATATGCCTGGGTTGCGGGCTCGGTCCCCAGTCGGGGGTGTGAAGGAGGCAGCCAATCAATGATTCCCTCTCATCATTGATGTTTCTGTCTCTCTCTTCCTTTCCCTTCCTCTCTGAAATCAATAAAAATATATTTAAAACAAGAAAAAAGAGTGGGAAGCAGCTTCCTGTCCTGGATAAAACCAAGTATCTTGTGCCTGATCATGTCAACATGAGTGACCTCATCAAGATAATTAGAAGTAGATCACAGCTCAATGCTAATCAAGCCTTCTTCCTGTTAGTGAATGGGCACAGCATGGTGAGTGTGTCCACACCGATATCGGAAGTGTATGAAAGTAAGAAGGATGAAGATGGATTCCTGTATATGGTATACACCTCTCAGGAGACATTTGGAATGAAATTATCAGTTTAAGGCCGAAACCGGTTTGGCTCAGTGGATAGAGCGTCGGCCTGCGGACTGAAACGTCCCAGGTTCGATTCCGGTCAAGGGCATGTACCTTGGTTGCAGGCACATCCCCAGTGGGGAGTGTGCAGGAGGCAGCTGGTCGATGTTTCTCTCTCATCGATGTTTCTGACTCTCTATCTCTCTCCTTTCCTCTCTGTAAAAACTCAATAAAATATATTTTTTAAAAAAAGAAATTATCAGTTTAAGACTAGAAAAATGAATCTGTTCTAGAATTTTTTAGACCCTTACCAACGGGAAAAAAAGGGATGTTACCAACAGATTGATCAGTTCATCTAAATCACAGATCACCAAAACAGAAGTGTCCTGCCTAGGAGTTTTAGAAAGTTGTTTTTTGCTTTAAGCAGAAAAACTGAGTTCCAAGTGAGCACATTCAGCTTGGGAAAACTGTATTATTTAACCTAGGCTGTCTTGTTTTAAAGTTTAGAAGTTTACAAACAAAATACTTTGCATTCTAAGTTACCAATAAAATAGATCTTCAAGTCTTTTAATGTTCTTTCCCCAATAGGAACTTGCATTTTGAACATTCAGAGAGAGTAAGTCAGAACCTGCCAACTTTTTATTGAAGAGTTTCTATCCAACTAGAGAAATCTCAAGCATGGCCCCCAAAACACATTTGCCATTGTAGTTTGCAAAAAACAGGCTAAATGGAGGTGTATAAGAAAACGGTGAATTGCTGTTAAAGGGTCCTGATTCCTAGCAAGTATACCCAAGGCAATGCTCCTGCAGTGTTAGGAAGTTCTTATTTGGTTTGTTCTCCAGACAGTAGCATACATAGTATCACTGCTCAGTAGGAACCTTGAATAATTTATTTTGGTCAAGTTTCTCAGAAGACCCAGAGGGGAAAAAAAGTGACATTTCTTCTGTTTTGAATATTCTCTGATCAAGAGCTCAAACTAGTAGTGCTGCATTGGTAAATAAATAAGCACTTGTATCCATTTTATTCTTTAGGACAGTGGTAGAAAGTACAGAATCCTGCAGATGACCCATGTTTTATGTTAAGTGCGTGACTACAATAGGTTGTTTAAAAGTTTCCACGATTTTAAGGAGTATTTCAGTTATCACTGTTAGGTCAAACAACCATCGGAATTCCCCCACTCTAAGCGCATGTCAGTTGTGAAGAAAACAGTAAAAGGAGATGTATTCTCTTCACATATATTAATGTCAGAAGTTAAACATTTTCCAAGTCTAACCAGAATAATCAATACTTCCTACTACCTGCATGGTTCATTATTTACTGTTTTCATGGGAATATCACAAAAAGATCACACGCCACTTTATATGTAGAAGGTAATAATTTGCCCTTGTATATTTAGAAGTGTATAGAATACCTGAAAAACATCCACTCTTTTTCTTGCCACAGCATAATTTGATTAAAGAATCTGATTAATTATCACTGTGCTACTGGATGCTACAATGCAGTGTCTTGTAAATTTATTTTACCAGTACAAGATTTTCTTGTTGTGGACAATACCATTGTCAATGCATCAATCACCCCCCTTAAACAGTCTCCTTGACACCTTTTTCTCTGCCACCTCTGACTTTAGGCTATTTCAGCAACTATTCAGACTTAATTTTAACCAAGGAAAAGGAAGCCAAGGACAAGAAGAGGAAGTAAAATTCAAACAAATTCATTTGTTACTTATTCATTATCCTAATAAGGAATAGATGGAAGGGGAGATGAGACAAGTAATAGGCTTAAAAAGTTACTTAGTGGTGTAAACTAATTTATGACAAATTTAAATTCTACCACTACTGATGATCTATCTTGCTGGGGGCAGAAGAGTCTTCAATAGTATAATAGTAGGATCTCTTTCTTTTAAATAATGCAATCAACACCCACAACCTCAGTTTAAAATACATTCTAATTAAAATCTCTCTAGTAGGTAGGTCCCTAAAGTGTCCTTTGCTCTTTCTTTTTTGGTCCCCCTCCCCCTTTGCTCTTTCTTAATTTGACTTACCACACTAATGTCAGAAGCATGATTTTGGTGACACCAGCACCTGCATGTTATCAGGGGAACTTCAACATTCAGACTGGAATAATGCCAATGAAACACAAACATGCCATTTAGCAGACATGAGAAATAGGAAAACAACCTTGGTTAGCAGTTGGGAGACTTGTGGGCTGACACTTACTGGTCATGTGAATTGATTTACTCACCTAACTTATCTGAGGCTCATTTTTCTCATTAGTAAATTGAAGCTAAAAATCCTTGCCCTGCTTATGTCAATGGTTATCATGATGATTAAATTAAGTAATGTATGTGACAGTTTTTTGCAAAATTTTATGCAAATTGAAACATGAACATTTTTAAAAGTCATTAAAATGGTTTTCTTAGAAAGCCCAAGCTAGCCAGGAAGAAAAGTGTAAGAGAGAAAGAAAATCTCTTCTCCCTCTACCCATCCAAAGTTCATTGACTGGGACTCTGTCAATTTGCCTGCCAAAACACAGATTAACAAGAGAATGATAAATAAAAGTGTATTAACACAAGTATTATACACTCCTACCTGGATGTTGTCGGGTGCTCAGAGATGAGTAACTCAAAGAGCTAGTTAAAACTCGGGCTTATATAGCATCTTAAGAGAACCATAAAATTTTAGAGAAGTGACAAGACAAAGGTAAAGGATTTTAAATTGCTATGGTAGCAAATTGTAGGAAGGAAAATATATGGAGGAACTAAGATAAGGGCTACTTAGTATAGTTGGTTATGTATATGAGAGTTTGGTTATGGTTATGAGAGTTTTTATAATCATGAAAGATCATACCTCCTCCAAGATATTTAGTTCTATCTTTAGAATGATAAGGCTCTCAAGTTGTCTCCAGTGATTTACTTTTGCTTTCTTGGTAGAGAAGGAAGGGGGAACCACTTTACAAATTGAGGTCCCACTTTTAGACATATAGTGGGAGTCCAGAAAGAGCTTTTCTTGTCTACACAGGGTGGGGCAAAAGTAGGTTTACAGTTGTGAGTACACAAAACAGTTTATTTTTGTATTATTATTTATTAATTATTGTATTATTTTCCATACAAACTATTGTAAACCTGCTTTTGCCCCACCCTATATTTGCTTCATTTCAAATGCCTGCAGCTGAAAATTATCCTTATATCAAAGTGGCACATTTTGGTGTAGTGTATTATGCTACCCTTCAGAGGCCACTTGGAGGGAGGGAGGTTGGGAGGGAGAGAAAAAGAGTGAGAGAGAGAGAGAGAGAGAGAGAGAGAGAGAGAGAGACCTATTTCTTGCAGGCATTCCAGATGAGCCATCAACTATGTGAGTGAAAAAACCATCTTGGGCATCCAGTTCAGATTAGTTGCTGTCTGGCTGCAACCTCATGAGAAACCCCAAGCGGGAACCACTCAGCTGAGCCCATTCAACCACAGAACCAGACAAATATATGTTGTTTTAAACCAGTAAGAGTGGTCTGTTATGCAGCAATCGGTAAGTAAAATATATAGTATTTTGTTTGTTTTTTTCATTTTCATGGAAGGCTTATTGAATTAGTTAGTGTAGGATTTTATAAGACATTTAGGACAAAGTCACTGATATATATCAGGACCTACTTTATTTGATTTGCTGCTTCTTGACAAAGACACATTGTCCTAAAAAGTACATTTCAAGGGGCACTGAGAAGAAAATATCTAGTGAATTAATGCTAGGAAAAAGGAGGGGGAAAAATCTACTTTCAAGCTACATTTTTGTTGCAAATGCTTTGGACAATTACATAAGTTACGGTTTTCCTAAGAACATACTTATTATTTCTATTTATTTATTTTTAAATATTTTTATTGATTTCAGAGAGGAAGGGAGAGGGAGAGAGAGAGAGAGAGTAACATCAAAGATGAGAGAGAATCATTGATCAGCTGCCTCCTGCATGCCCCCTACTGGGGATCATGCCCACAACCAGGGATGTGCCCTGAAATCAAACTGTGACCTCCTGGTTCATAGGTTGATGCTCAATCACTGAGCCACATCAGGGCCAGATTTATTTTTTTAAATGTATTGTTCTCTTATGGTTTGATTTATGGCTGATCAAGATTGCTCTAATGATTATATTTTTAGTTAAAGTCAGGTTTGTTGAGATATCATTTATATACAGTAAAATTTACACTTTTCACATGTACAGGTCTGAGAGTTTTGATAATCACGAAAGATCATACCCTTTCCAAGATATAGAGTATTTCAATAACCCCCAAAAGTTTCCTTGTACTCCTCCTTTCATCCCCAGCCCCTGGTAACCACTGATCTGATTTCTGTTCCTATAGCTTTGTCTTCTTTCCATTGTCATATAAGTGGAATCACATAGTCTCTTGTGTCTGGCTCCTTTCACTTAACATAATGCCTTTGAGATTCATCCAAAGTAATATTCTGTTCCTGCACCAATTATTTCCCTTTCCCTTTATGTTATTCTAAGAATATGCAAAGCTATGAATAGCTAAATAAGTCATAGGGTCATTGCAGTGTTTCAGGAAGTTTTGTCTGAGGATCATCTACATTGGAATCACCTTGGGTGCTTGTTGGACTCTCAGACTCAGACCTATGGAGTCAGTGTCTGAGTAATGTGTGAGCAACCATACCCATATGACTTTTGTGCACCACCAAAGGCAGGTATTCCAGTGGACAAGAATATCAGAGTTAGATGGTTCTGAGTTTGAATCTAGTACTGCCATTTACTAGTTGTATGAACTTGGGCAAATTACTTAAACTGTCTGCACCTATTTTTTCTTTTGTACTTGTAAATAATTTATTTACCAAATATTTTTGAGCAGCTATTATATGACAGGCACAGTTCTAGGAACCAGGGTCGCAGCAGTGAATAAGATAAAGTCCAATCTTTCATGGAACATAGCACAGGATAAGTGTTTAAGCACATAAATATATGAGAAAATTTCAGATAGTGATACTCTAGAAAATGAAACAGTTTTGACATAGAGGGCACCTTAGTTAAGATACAATGTAGGCTGTAAGTTAGTGTACTGTGCTTAGCATTGTCACAAAGGTTCTGTCTGGACTACTGGATCTTAGCAAGATCTTCTCAATGTAAGCTGAGTTTTCAGCATCACAAAAAATGTAGTACCAATCTTGATTCTTATTTGAAACTGCAGAGAAATTATGTCAACATTCAACCGCTAGTATGGCATTCTAACCATGAGCAGCATTTCTGGCAGAGTTTATGCTCATGCATTCCAGATTTGAGAACCCTTCATCACTTCTAGGCCACTGTTCACGGCCTTCCTGAGGGACGGAATAAAACCAAGTCTTTCTCTTGCATCGTTTTATCTCTAAAGTCAGTTCTGGAACATAAAAATGTATCTCATCCTTTCACTCTTCTCAAGAATAGAGACTGAAAAGAAATACTAATTTATGGGCAGCATGCCCTATTGTTAATTTTTTTTTTTTTAACCTCCTTGGTGGCCATGGATCATTTTGAGGCTTTTAAAGAACACTGCGGATCTTCTCCCCTACACACTGCACAGTAGGGTCAGTTCTCCGCCTCATCTTAGTGGCCCCATCTGTAGTGTTTGCACAGTAGATCGCTCCCTCCACTCTCGGCTCTCCTGTCCGGTCCCGCCTCAGTCCTAGGAACCTCCGTCAACTCCAACGTCGACTCCGCCTCTGCGACTAGCATCGTCGGGAGGGAGGAGCCAAGGGCGAGCCCGGAACGCAGTTACCCGACCCTGTGGCCCGCCGGAGCGCTGAGGGAGGGGAACGCGTCAGGCTGAAGAACGGAAGCGAGAGGCGGGGGACGTGTTTGGCCGTGGACACGCTGTTCGCGCTCGCGGTTCAGTTTGTTTCTGGGCGATGTTTCCAAGAGTCACAGCGATCCTCCCTCTTCGCCCCCTTTCCCGCTTCCCGTTGTGTCCTGGAGGCCCAGAGGCGGCGGCAGCTGCGACTGTGCTCCTCGGCGCTCCGCACGGACCCGTCAGGTACCTCATCTCCGCGCTGTTGGCTCCGCACGTCTTCCGGCAAAACCCCTGCCCGCTCCAGCACATTCAGTTATCCTTCTCCCGCTTCCTGCGCTCTGTAACCCGTGGGATCTTAGAAGCCTTTGCTTGAAATTTGAGGAAAGGGAAATCCCGGGAAGATAAAACGACTTGCCCAAGGTCATAGTGCCCGTGGGAAACAGCTGCAGGTGCGTCCCGGGTCTGCTGTCCTGTGCTCTTCTGTGACACACCGCGCCTCTAACTTCTCGCCACCTTCCCCCTCATTTTATCCAGGCT